GCGTTGCATTTGTTGCGGTCTCGAAGAAATTTACTCGAAGAAAATATTTTGCGAAAAATGTAAACCGGTTCAACGTAGGATGCAAAATATATTCTATAATTCTATAAATAATAGGATTCCAAAATTTCTCGGAAAATGGCGCGATTAGAGAAAAATTTTCGATATCGAAGAAATTTAAGCAAATGTTTTATGAAAAATGTAAGAAATTATGTTAAATCCATGGAATATTTTAATCGTCGATATAAATAAAAAATCGAAATTCAATAATATACAATTGCAAGGTTTTTCGAAAAATCCAATGATGCGTTAAAAGGAAAATTTTTGAAAACTCTTAAGATTCTCGAATATTTTTAGGAAAGGTGTGTAACTGGGAAATATCCACTTAAAGTTGAAACCACGACAATAGGAAAATATGAGATCAAAAAGCAGTGTAGAACTGCTTTCAAATCTCCCCTCGTTTGGAAATTCGGTTTTCAAAAAAATCTATAATAGCGTAATTAGAGCTAGAAGACTCTTTGAGATCGAAATCGCGCCACCGCCACCTATTGTTGCGGACAGCGACCACGTTCCAACTTCCAATAGACAATTCGATCGATCCCATTTTCAATTTGCGCCCCGCTGAAAAACCATCCTCGTTAGACTACCACCCGGGGGATTATTATTCCTCGTAGAGGATATTATCGTTAACTCTGCTCCCAACTTTTATTAATTCGTTCCTTTCGTTTCGACCCCTTTCCGCTCGAGGAAATAAATCATCACATTAACCTATATATTGCACCGCAACGGTTAAATTATTAGCGTGTAGTTGCCTAAACTTGCCAATTTTAGAATAAACGACAATCAAACTTTGTGTTTTCATCTTCTTTTCCGCATCAGTTTAACCGTTTTTCCAGAAGGGAACGAATTTAGAACGAATTAAACTTCTGTACGAGTTTAAGCTGGGCCACAGTGAAGCATATCGAAATATTAAATTAGTTTTCGAAGAAGATTCTGTCGACGAGAGGAGACCGTTTCAAAAATTCAGATCTGGGAATGAGAATCTTGAAAAAGATAAATCGAAAGGTAAAGCAGAAAAGTTAGACGTATTTCGAATGACAGTTTTCAAACGTTTAGATGCAATGAGTAAAGTGAAAAAATTGGAAAAGAGGAATCAAAAGTGTGTTCATCGTTCGAAACGGTACAAGTATTTTTGAATAAAATTATAACCTGTGCCGTGAGAAATGAATATTGTACGATAATCGTAACGCGATCCGAACAATGGTTGGACACTGGTGAAAATCGTAAACAAATGCCGAAAAATCGTTAGAGTGATTGTACAATGGTCCTGTAAAGGGAATAATTCGTTATTTTTTACTGAAACGAGAAGATACTGTAACAGCAGCATCCTATTGTCAAAAAATCGATAAGAACAGCCAACGTTAGTCAATATACATGGCCTATTCAATTCACCATTTACAGTTGTTTTTTTAAAAAATAAAATATTCGACGCTCGAGAAGTATTTGAAGAATTTCCTTCGCGCTAAAACCACGAAGTTTTAAAAAAATGAAATACTGTACTGTGTCTGTTGGAATCTCGTTGGGTTAAAGCCAACGGCTCGTATTCCGATCGAATACACTTTATAGTTTTGAAAATATATCATTTTTCTTTCGAGCAACAAAAACGACAATTTCACGATAATTTAATATAAGTTTCTCTCATAATTCCAATTCGACGCATGCTTCGTTTCTTGCTTCTTAACCTTTTAGGATAATTCGTTACCCTAATTTCTGCAATCATCCTGTGGCTGGACAGTTAGTTTCTCATTTCTCTTACTTCTCTTGAACGAATTGAACACTCAAGCATCGAACTGAGAACTTTTTGTTTCAACGGTCAAATCGCTATGGTTTTTCGTGGAACGAACGTTTCTCTTTATCTTAATCGTCGTTCCGTTTCGAAGACGTTTTCGGTTACATTATTTTGTAACTCGAGTCGAGTATCGATCGAGAGATCTTTCGTATATTTCGATGGGAAAAACTGCCGCGTATGTTTCGTTCCAGCTAGGAATTTGTTTTTTTTTATTTATGCATAATTTGGATATGAAGATACATTTATATATTATTTAAATTAAGAGACATTAGAGACGTTTTGCTCGCTTACCAACACTTTAATGCTCGGTGAAAAGAATAAGTTTCGAAGAAAAGCGCGCGCAAAAAAGGATATCGAAGATAGAGAATGGCGTATTTAAAACGAATCCCTCCCTCCTTTTTATAATCCATTTTTCTTTATTCCTCGTAAACTTGTTTCGCGTCCAATCCTGCTCCGTCCGTGGAATTCTTTCGTTTCGTTATTCCGTTCGTAATAATTAATGAGAAAAAGGAATTACGAATTATTCATAAAGAAGTTATCTTAACTTTTTCGCTACTTTAAAATTGCTCGATGCATAGAATTCTTTCGAATCGAGAGAGAAGAGTTTCAACAAACACACAACTCGAAAATAATTCCTCGTTTATACAGGATGGTCCCGGATTAAACTGTACCAGTATGTTCTACGTAAAGAATAAGAAAAGAAATGTTATACAAACATAGATCTGCTTCCAAGAAGAAAGAAAAAAATTTATGTTTCCATTTCAAAGTGCCGTTTACTTACGAATGCAAATTGACGACATCTTAGGGAAACCGAATTTACCACTCTTCATCTTTATCTTGCTCTCAGTTCAACGAGCTGATTAATCAATCCTTTCCATTAACTTTTTTCACGAATGAACGATACGCGATCACTTTTCACAATAAATAGTTCCCCTCCGAAAAAAAAAAGAAAATAAAAAATAAAAAAATCTAATGGTGTAAAATCTGACCGATCCATCTTTCGTGAAAATATTCGAATTCGAATTCGAATTCGCTATTGACCAATTAAATTTCATATTTTTATTATAATTTATTTATTAATTTTTATATAAAGCGTATCTACTCTTTGCACAATATTCTTTTCTCATTTTCTTAGAACATATTGGTGCAGTTTGATCGTTTGATCCTGTAAAATACCAAAAAAAAAAAAAAAAAAAAATTACCAAATTTTGAAAAACGCAACAGCGAGAGGATAGATAGATAGATCTCTTTCCCCTTCTGCGGGAGAAAAATCACGTTTCGCGCTTTTCTCGTAAATTTTTTTATCGACAGCGTCCGCTCACCCGTCGTTACAATAAAACGTCGTTGATAGTTTCCAAGACGTTGGAACCGAGGAGCTGAGTTACGATGGCTTCCATAAAGGAGGGGGGGAGGAGAAATCTTGGACCTCGAGGAATACGCGTTGCGTGAGAAAAAGGAATGGAAATCGGATGGGTAATAAACGGAATGCTCGTAAATTAAAAGGATTTAACGCGGTGAAATCTGAATTTTATTCCCGGATGACGTGGAAAGGGCGAGGTTCGTGGTGGACAGAAGTCGAGAATTGAAACGATCCTCCCCATTGTGCCGTTTAGAATTTCGTTGTTTAAAGGGAGGCCCATTGTCATTCTGTGCGCGGTGTCTGAAACAGCATCGCGCAAAGAAAACGAAAGAGGGGAGCTTTGCCGTGCACCCACCATAAACTAATTGCCAAGAGAACCGGGTTCTGTTTTGTCAAGTTGTTTTGTCACGTCTCTCGTATAGAAAATAATTAATTCTATAGTAAAATTTTACTATATAATTGTGCGTCTGGATATATCGTTTAAGTATTATCAATTTAGAAATTGAATTGAAGATATTTTTTCCATAGAATTAATGGAAAAATTTATATATTCTGCATACCAATGCTTTCCTTCGTGAAGATAAAGTTTTTGGAAGCACGGAAAGAAGGCACGCTTTCCTATCAAACAGTGAATATATTTGAAAAAAATATCAAATCAAACGTCTAATTTTTATTAAATCGCATTTAAATTTTTGTACAGATCGAGCAAAAAGATTTTTTCGAATAAATGAATTTTCGAGAAATATATTCTGCGTGAAATCGGCTATTCCAATCGGAACGATGTTTTTTTCCAAGTACGAGTACGAGTCAAACAGGGATCTAATTTACCGACGAAAGTTTAAACGACGGGAAAAACGGATGAATCATAAATAGCGAAGTGGACAAAGCATATCCAATTACGAACGAATACTAAATTCTCCGGAAGTCTCGATTCTCGAGAGAATTATTGACCATCTGTATTCCTTCCCGGACGGCAAATAATCCAAAGCGCAACAAATAATTGCTCGGCAAATAGGAAAGTTGAAGCGATCTCCTCGGTCCAATTAGTCACCTTCTCGCTTTCGAGCAGTCAATTAACTTGGAGAAATTCCTCGAGCTTTTATTTTTTTCATTTTCCCCACCTGTTTCGAATCGATCGATATCAACGTCCCCCTCGCCAAATCCCGCTTTGAAGCGCGAATCCAGACGTCGCGAATTAAATATCGTTCAAATATAATTTAAACTCGATGCGATGCAATGACGCATAAAATAACGCTCGAAGCGCTACCGTACATTCGAGCTTTCTTAGATCACTATTATCTCACTAATTTTCAGATTTATTAGCCATGAAACGACAATTTATCATTCACAAAGTAACGTAATTATACAGATTTTATTTGCCATTTGTTCGTGATCCTTTCTCACCGTAGATAAAAAAACGAAACGAGAAAAACGGTACGTTTATTCGAATTTCCATCAGTTGTATCTTGATTCCTTTCATCATTTGATGTAATAAAACGGTTTGATCGAGGGCAACCCTGCTAATTATTACTTGATTCGTCAAACCAAGGGAAATTCAATACCATCGATCTCGACGCAGTTGTACGATGCTCGATCGATAATCGCTCACGCCGACGGCTCTCGATGCTTTTTTGTCCGTTAACCGTTCTCTCTCAAAAGAGGGAGAGAAAAAAAAGATAGAAGAGAAAAATGACGAAATTTCTCGTGCTTTTTAACGTTTTAATAAAGAAAAAAAAAGTAGTAAATTTATGAAATGGCCGCTTAAAGAACTAGAAAATCCATTGGACGTTGCAGGCATAATTGCAGGGGGCGGTGGCGGAGGGAGAGATCGGTATAGCGGTGGTTCCGCTTCCGCTCTGAGCTGCGGTGGCGAGAAGGTTCGAGAGGACAGGCAGGGAAGGATGGTGGACGGGAAGTCGAGGATCAGGAGGGAGAGGGAAGAGGACACGAAAAGCGCGGACAACGTGTCGAGGGGCGCCCCCTCGAGGCAGAGTTTGTTGGAGCTGGTCAGCGGTAAATGTATGAGCCGCCACACGCCCACGCATCATTATTATCATCAACAACAGCAGGTACCGTACCTGATCATACTTTGCCTCCAGGTTTATCCGGCTAAGGATGTTTCGCCGGTTGTGCATCGATGGATAGGCTCGATGCTAATTACGTTATTGTGACGATGGGATTAACCTCGATTCGCGTTTCGGTCAACTGTAATTAATCCGATAATCGTGCGGCTTTTCATCGGGCTCGACCGGCCGGACCGTCCAATCCAAAATTATCTCTTCGTATTCTCTCTCTCTCTCTCTATATATATATATATATATATATATTCCTTCTTATTTTATTTATTTTATTGTCTGAATAAGAATAA